GTGAGAGTGTGTGTGTGTGTGTGAGTGTGTGTGTGTGTGTTTTCATCGGACACGTAATCCGTCACACTCGTCCGTCTGTCTGTCTGCACACGTGCACAGTGACGTTCACAGACAGTAGCTGCGGGTCAAAGTCAGTGTCAGAAACTCTATTTAACTCTTTTTCCAGCTGAAATCTCAGTGAATGTGTGCTGTGGCCTTTCATCTGTCCAGACGGGCGTCAGACGCATCATTTCCTGTAACACTGACACAATAGAGACTAATATTAGCACCTTTACTCCAGAGCTGAGATTCAGAGAAACTGCTGTATTTAAACTGTTATTCTGCTGTTTGACGTCATGATGAACAGAAGAACAATCATATACACTGTATCTGTGTGGTTTTCTGCTCGCCAGCAGCAGCGTCTGGATGGAAATGTGCTGCTGAATCGATGTATTTATCATGAACATCACAGACGAATCATGGCTGTTCAGAATCACAGAACAAACGAATCATATGATCCAAAAGTGCAGTGTAAATCTTACAGAAAAGATGTTATATTTATTAAAAGCTTCTGCTAAAGACAAATACGGCCCATTCCAACCTAGTTTGTGCTGATGAACCATGTTTGTGTAAAACACCAGCCATCAAAATCAACACTGAAACATGAATCATGAGCAGCTGCAAATGAATCACAGCAACACTTCAGAACAAATCTAACATGCACAAAATAAATCAGATCATTTATTATTTAACAGAAAAACAGAAACACTTCTCCTCATGATCTGGGATCAGCTGTATGATTCATGATTTCAGCAGGAAAGAAGCTCTGATTTATTCTGTGTTCCAGATGAACATCACGTCCGCAGCGGCACGATGGAAGAAACGCTCATGTGATGGAAATCTGTGCGTCCAGTTAAACTTAGCTCCGTTGTGCTTCTGCGTGAACTTTAGTAGTGTGGGATTTCTAAAGTAAACAGGAAGTGAGCGCTGGAGGCGCTGAAAACATCTCAATCGACTCTCAAGGCGACTTCCAATAATACACTGAGAACAGACCGTCGACTCAGACCTGATCGGAACAAAACACACAGACATACAGGAATATATTTATATATGAGGACACAGATTCAGGCCTAAATTTAATATTTATGTATTTGAATTGCTTATAAATTTCCATCCATTTCAACTGCTCAGTTTTAACTTAAACTAACAAACTCAATGTGATCATATCCGTCAGTCATACATCAATGAAGCAGGTCAGATTTCTATAATAGTGTTAATAAACTCAATGTGATTTAAATACACAATAACCAGCTTTATATATTTATCATCAATAAATCCAGTTTGTTTCGGTTCATTCATTGCTTGTTTCACCGTTATTGTTTTAAACTGATTATTTAAATTAATTGTTTTCACAATGAACAGATTTAAACTGATTCTAAGACATTTGAATGAATTCATTTTTAAAATGACTACTTAAAGAAAATCAAATAGATGTGAATAGTTAATGATTTCTTGAGTGCAGACGTTTCAATGCTGTATGACTGAGAAATATGCATTCCTTTAAGTTTATTAGTTCGTTTAGGTTAAAACTGTGAAACCCAAATCGATGGAAATTTTTAAAATGGCAATTCAAATACATAAATCATAAATGTAGGCTGCTGTTCTGCACAGGAGACGAAGCTATACTGCAGACTGACGAGACGACGCACACAGACGATCATCATCTCTGCGTTTGGTTCTCCATCAGAACACGTTTGGGGAACACGGCAGCGGTTCCTGGAGCTCTTTTGGTGAAAATCATAACCAGCCCATTTCCTCTCATTCATCGGCTGCGCTGGGAAAGTCTTGTATATCCTTCCTGCGGCGCGAGCGGCTCTGGCTCTGCACGGCTCTTCTGCAGAACACGAGGCCAGGCGCTTGAGAGCAACTATTGTCTTTTGTTTGTATCTCTAAGTCACACACAATGCACGGCTTTCCTTCTCATATAAATAATACCGTCATCCTAAAACCAACCTCGCTGGCTGCGTGGAGGGCCGTTCTCACCGGATTCTCATTCGTACACGTCCCGCTTTAGTCTGAACCAATCCTTTTTGTTTCGCAGGAACGTCTTCATCTTCTCAATAACAGGTGCAGGATTCTCCTGCAAGCTGAAATCACTGGCTGATAAATGAACCAGCGATTATGTCGAGATGATAACGAACGGTCAAACTGAGTGATGAGAGCCTCAACAAAAACCACAAACACGGCAGTGTGAGCTTGACAAATGCTCTAAATCTACGTTATTTAATTAAAACATTAAATAATAGCTGTACAGTACATGATTCATTTGGTCCGTCCAGAGATCCTGACAGATCTTCACTCACGCTCTCTATTAACACTGAATTAATTCAGCATCAGTGATCGCAGCGAGACGAGGAATAAAGCCTCCAGCTTCTGAAGGAGAACAGCGTGAGCTCCTCTTCAGTGAGATCACGTCTGACCGGTTCTTCTCTTCAAGGTCCATCAGCATCGTGAAGGTCCAGCGCAGGCTAGGCGAGGATGTCGCTCCGCTTGCTGCACCACACCACCAGCACCACCATGGCCAGCGTGAGGAAGACGGGGACGAGGATGAGGAGGGTGAGCGTGTCGTCCGGCGGGTCGACGAACACCACGTGCTCCAGGCTGCAGTTGGAGAAGAAGTGCTTGTGGATGCTGATGATGAAGCGCTCCACCGCTGGGTTCGGCCAGAAGCAGCCGATGCGCTCGGCGTTCATCTCCGTGCAGAAGGAGAAGACGTGATACTCTCTGAGGAGACAAGCAGAAACTCACGTTATTATTCATCTCATGGAGAAATTCAGGCAATCAGCGGATCAGTCGTTTCCTTCAGGAACGGCTCATATTCAGCATCTAATGAGGCTTTTCAAATGAACCTGTCCCGTGACATGAGCGCAGAGCTTTATAGCGCTAATAACGCTCCTTCCTCTTCATCTTCACGGAGACGCAGATGAACAGAGTTTACATCATAGTACACAACACAATACTCGTCCTCAATACTCCTGATCGACGTCCAAGACACAAGACATTAATACTGCATGCCGGACATGAAAGCCTGATTCTGAGGATCCTGAAGATGCAGTATTTTCTGATTTATGGAGTGAATCCCCTCTGAGAAACCTTGAACTCTAATAATGACCAGAAAATCTAGCAGGAATTATGAACCTGACTTTATCCAATGTTTAGATTTATGTTCAGTAAATTCATGCAAATTAGTGCATATTTAATTAGAGAATGCCTCATTTGCATATTTAAACATAACATTTCAGAAAACGTGTAATAAAAAATGTTTGCATGTAAACAATTACAGTATTTTCACAGTGACAAGAATGTTTGGGTTTAAATTAGTTTGATATGAATACAAAACACCTTGATGGTCTTACAAACAGGCTTTGTTTTCTTTATGAAAATTAATTTATTCTGATTTTGGTGTAAAATACAAGTGAGTGAGTGAGTGTGTTGGGGTCCCGGTATTCCCTACGTTAAAGAGACCAAAAGGATAGTAATTCCAGTACATTTTGTCCTTGTGGGGAAATTTTTTTTGGTGCCCATGAGGAAACAAGTGTTTTGAGAATCTAAAAATGCCTGTAGTTTTGTGTGAGGGGGAGGTTCAGGGTAAGGGGATAGAAAATACAGTTTGTACAGTAGAAAAACCATTAGCACCAGAGTGTGTGTGTGTGTGTGAGTGAGTGAGTGAGTGAGTGAGTGTGTGTGTGTGTGTGTGAGTGTGTGTGTGTATGAGTGTGTGTGGTTTGGGGGTTTGAGGTTGTGTGGAGTGTGTGTG